TGGTGGCGCAGTGGTTGAGAGTCCGCCTGCCGATGCAGGGGACACGGGTTTGTGCCCTGGTCCAGGAGGCTCCCACATGCCACAGAGCGGCTGGGCCTGTGAGCCATGGCCGCTGAGCCTGCGCGTCCGGAGCCTGTGCTCCGCAACGGGAGAGGCCACAACAGTGAGAGGCCCGCGTACCGCAAAAAAAAAAAAAAAAAAAGTAAACAGTTCATTAAAAAAGTTTTTTTCTGGTCCAGGATCTAATACTGGATCAGGTGTTGCATTTGCCTGTCATGACTCTCTAGTCAGTCTCCTTTAATCTGGAACAATTTTTCTGTTGTTCTTTGACTTTCATGACTTTGATATTTTTTAAGACTACGGTCCATTTGTTTTATAGAATGTCCCTCAACTTGGATGTTGGATGTTTTCTTGTGATTAGATTTCACTTATGTGTTTTCGCAGGAATACCCTAGAACTGATGTTGTATTCCTCAGTAGGTAAGGATAAGAAGCACAAGATATCTATTTGTCTCTCAACTGGTGATGCTTACTTTAGTCACTTAGTTAAGATGGTCCCTGCCAGGTTTATTCACTGTAAAATTACTATTTTTTTTTCTTTGTAATTAATAAGTGTCTTATAAATACTTTTTAGCTACTTTGAGACTCTGCCAATATCCTATTTTTCATCAAATTTCTACCCTCTAGTTTTAGTATTCAATGTTGATTCTTGCCTAAAGCAGTTATTACTGTGGTGGTTGCCAAATGGCCATTTTCTAATTCCATCATTCCATTTATATTTATTGGTTAGTATTCTACTGTAAGGAAGAGCTTTCACTTTCCCTCTATTTATTTATTTGTCCATTTATCGATTTATAATTTATTTATTCAATGTGGACTCATGGATTCTTATTTTATTCTGTAGTTTTATAATCCATTATTGTCATCATTTATTTTGATACTCAAATTGGCCTGGATTTGGACAATTGGAACCCCTTAAAGCTAGCTCCTGTGTCCTTTTGATATGTCCCCATTACCCCATTACTCTTTTTTTTGGCTGCGTTGGGTCTTCATTGCTGCATGGGGGCTTTCTCTAGTTGTGGTGAGCAGGCTTCTCATTGCAGTGGCTTCTCGTTGCAGAGCACGGGCTCTAGGGCACGCAGGCTTCAGTAGTTGTGTTACACAGGCTCAGTGGTTGTGGCTTGCAGGCTCTAGAGCACAGGCTCAGTAGTTGTGGCACACGGGCTTAGTTGCTTGGCAGCATGTGAGATCTTTGCGGACCAGGGCTCGAACCCGTGTCTCTCCTGCATTGGCAGGCAGATTCTTAACCACTGCACCACGAGGGAAGCCCCCCATTACTCCTTGAGCACGCCTTTACTTTCTAAAAGGCACAGCAAGGTGTTTCTGGTCCATCTTTTCCTTTTTTTTTTTTTTTTTTGGGGTGAAAATGAGTTGTGGAAACAGATAACCTAACTTCCAGTTCTGACTTTATTCCTTATTGGCTGAGAAAAGCTTCCTCTCTATGTTTTAGTTAAAACTAAAATGCCTGTTTGAAGAAAATGTTGTAAAGATAAAGTGAGGTAATATGTTAACAATGTTTACATAGAAGGTGGTCAGTAAAGATTGTTTTTTTTTCTTCCTTTCCTCCTTTCCTGCACATCTGTATAACTTTAATCCTTACCCTTTGCAGTATACTCTGTGCTTCTTTATTTTGTGTTTTTTTCCCCCCACAATTTCTTGAAAGAAAGTATGTCTAATACTGATTTTATGTCTGTCATAGTGTTTGTCATATAGATTCTTAGTTGCTACTTAATTGATGGATTACTTGTTTGACACTGCATCTCTTAGTTCCTTTTACACCTCCTGATAGAATATGATGCCCATGGCATTTTCACTTAAGTTTCAGTACTTAAAGAATGATATTTCTAGACATTTTCCTATTATTTCTATTTGTTCAGGTGTCCCTACTTAATGCCTAGCTGACATTCCTCCACCACATTTTTATAATAGGGAAAGTGTCAGGGTGTCTCATAACCTCATAGCCTTTTTATTAACTTTAGCAATCTGCACATCGTGCTGCCACACGAGGCTTCATCCGGTACGGCTGGCGCTGGAGTTGGAGAACGGCCATGTTTGTGACTATATTCAAGTAAGTTCTCTGAATTGTGACGAACGGTCTTGGGTATTCTTTTAGGAGCACATTTTTTGAGCAGTAGAATTATAAAATTTGAACGCCCATATAAAAGTGATTCATGATACCTTTTTCTTAAGAACTTTTATCTACCTAAAAGATTGGTTCAGTTGTACTTTTGTATGCATGGATGAAGGTCTGCCAACTAATATCAAAATAGATACAGGTTTGCTAAGTCAGAGGAACTCTGCAGAACTCTTCTTCACGTTCTGTTGCTTATTGACGTATTAGCAATCTGAAACACACTGAAGGAGCCTAGACTAGCACCAGGGATTGACATAGTAGGCTCTTCTAAACTAATACATATCACTTTAGTGAAAGTTATAGTCAAGAAGGTAAATGAGATATGCTTAAAATGATGTTTTCCTCCTCCTCCCTTCTCAGTACAGTGAACACTGGTCTAAATGTGTACCGAAATAAAAATGCCCTAAGCCATTTTGTCATTGCAGGAGGTAAGACATTTTTGTTTTGTTTACATTTTTCAATCTCAAATATGGTTTAGGAAATATGTAAGGACTTACAAGTCATGGCTACTGAATTCTTTGGTTGGCTTCTCATTATATCTCATTCAACATTCATGCAAAATGTATGGAAAATGTTGTGCTTGGTCCTTGGTGTACTTGTTGAACAAAACAGATAAGATCTTTGCCTTCATTGAGTTTTATCATCTAATGTGGATGGGAAAAAAACACGTTGCTATGATAGAAAGTAAATAGGTGGGGCAATGGGATCTAATGTGGACAGGGTGATCGAGAAGACCTTTCTTCTTTTTTTTTTTAAACATCTTTATTGGAGTATAATTGCTTTACAATGGTGTGTTAGTTTCTGCTGTATAACAAAGTAAATCAGCTATACATATACGTACATCCCCATATCTCCTCCCTCTTGCCTCTCCCTCCCACCCTCCCTATCCCATCCCTCTAGGTGGACGCAGAGCACCAAGCTGATATCCCTGTGCTATGCGGCTGCTTCCCACTAGCTAGCTATTTTACATTTGGTAGTGTATATATGTCCATGCCACTCTCTCACTTCGTCCCAGCTTACCCTTCCCCCTCCCCATGTCCTCAAGTCCATTCTCTATGTCTGTGTCTTTATTCCTGTGCTGCCCTTAGGTTCTTCAGAACCTTTTTTTTTTTAGATTCCATATATATGTGTTAGCATATGGTATTTGTTTTTCTCTTTCTGACTTACTTCACTCTGTATGACAGTCTCTAGGTCCATCCACCTCACTACAGATAACTCAGTTTCGTTTCTTTTTATGGCTGAGTAATATTCCATTGTATATATGTGCCACATCTTCTTTATTCATTCATCTGTCGATGGACACTTAGATTGCTTCCATGTCCTGGCTATTGTAAATAGAGCTGCAATGAACATTGTGGTGCATGACTCTTTTTGAATTATGGTTTTCTCAGGGTATATGCCCAGTAGTGGGATTGCTGGGTCATATGATAGTTCTATTTTTAGTTTTTTAAGGAACCTCCATACTGTTCTCCATAGTGGCTGTATCAATTTACATTCCCACCAACAGTGCAAGAGGGGTCTCTTTTTCTCCACACCCTCTCCAGCATTTATTGTTTGTAGATTTTTTGATGATGGCCATTCTGAACTGTGTGAGGTGATACCTCATTATAGTTTTGATTTGCATTTCTCTAATGATTAGTGACGTTGAGCATCCTTTCATGTGTTTGTTGGCAATCTGTATATCTTCTTTGGAGAGATGTCTATTTAGGTCTCTGCCCATTTTTGGATTGGGTTGTTTGGTTTTTTTCATATTGAGCTGCATGAGCTGTTTATATATTTTGGAGATTAATCCTTAGTCTGTTGATTCATTTGCAAATATTTTCTCCCATTCTGAGGGTTGTCTTTTCGTCTTGTTTTTGGTTTCCTTTGCTGTGCAAAAACTTTTAAGTTTCATTAAGTCCTATTTGTTTATTTTTGTTTTTATTTCCATTTCTCTAGGAAGTGGGTCAAAAAGGATCTTGCTGTGATTTATGTCATGGAGTGTTCTGACTATGTTTTCCCCAAAGAGTTTTATAGTGTCTGGCCTTACATTTAGGTCTTTAATCCATTTTGAGTTTATTTTTGTGTATGGTGTTAGGGAGTGTTCTAATTTCATTCTTTTACATGTAGGTGTCCAGTTTTCCCAGCACCGCTTATTGAAGAGGCTGTCTTTTCTCCATTGTATATTCTTGCCTCCTTTATCAAAGATAAGGTGACCATATGTGTGTGAGTTTATCTTTGAGCTTTCTGTCCTGTTCCATTGATCTGTATTTCTATTTTTGTGCCAGTACCATACTGGAGAAGACCTTTCTAAGGAGGTGACATTTAAGCTGATACCTGAAGAATGGAAAGGAGCAAGGCTTGCAATGAAGTAGCCTAGGCAGGGAGAACATCAAGGGTGAGGGCTCTAAGGTTTCTCAAATGCAGGATAATATGACTGGAACATAGCGAATAAGGGAAAGAATGGCTTGAGATGAGATTGGTAAGGTGAAGTAGAAAGGAGCCAGATTTTTCATGGTAAGAGATTGGATTTTATTTTAAAGCTCTCTGCCTCTGGTAGATAATGCCCTCTTTAAAATGAATGTTTAAAAAGAAAAAAAAAGTATTGAACATTTTCATTACATTTCCAGTACAAATCCAGTACATTTCCAGAAATGTAAATGAAGTTAACTGCATATACATGCAAACACTCACTAATTCATGTACATTCTCTCACATACAAAAACATACACATACTGCACCTAACAGTTTTTTACTTTTTATTTGGAAATAACTTCAAGCTTATGGAAAGTTGCAAAAATAAAATACAAGGAACACCATGAGTAATACCCTTTAGTACTGATATTAGTTATTGTTAACTTTTTTTTTTTTACTCCACCCCCACCCAGCTGCACAGCTTGCAGGATCTTAGTTCCCTGATCAGGGAATGAACCTGGACCCTCGGTAGTGAAAGCACAGAGTCCTAACCACTGGACTGCCAGGGAATTCCCAGTTATTATTAACATTTTAGCCCATTTGCTTTATCACTTGTACTCTCTTTTATTTTGGGTGCACTCTCTCTTTCTCTGTGTATACACACACAGGCAAACGCACATATACGTAATTTGAGCTTAATGTTTTAATGAAAACATTTAAAAATATAAAACTAGAAATAGACATTAATAGCGTTGTAGCAGCTAGAACTTGCCCGGTTTTAACTTGTGAACATTTTTACAGGGATATTCTGTAGGCTCAAGTGCCTGTATCCGAACCAAACTCTTGTCTTTCTGCCCCTACTTGCAGGTTTATTCCTGTTATATGTTCTCTGTCATCTGTTAAATTCCAAAATTGGAAATCAGTTAATGATGTGGTTCTGCCCTTTATTTCCCCTTTCCAGACTTCTAGTTCTATCAATCTTTTTTTTTATAAAAAATTTATTTATTTAATTTTGGCTGCGTTGGGTCTTCCTTGCTGTGTGCGGGCTTTCTCTAGTTGCAGTGAGTGGGCTTCATTGCGGTGGCTTCTCTTGTTGAGGAGCATGGTTTCTAGGTGTGTGGGCGTCAGTAGTTGTGGCTCGCGGGCTCTAGAGCACAGGCTCAGTAGTTGTGGCACATGGGCTTAGTTGCTCCGCGGCATGTGAGATCTTCCCGGACCAGGGATTGAACCTGTGTCCCCTGCATTGGCAGGCTGATTCTTAACCACTGTGCCACCAGGGAAGCCCTAGTTCTATGTCTTATTCCTTAAATATATATAGACTCTCTCACCTCTTTGTTCCCACTGCTACTACAGGTCTTCCTTGTTTCTAATCTTGGTTTGCTTCACCTCTACTGTTATCTGACTTTTTTGAAATATGTATAAGATTTTAACACTTCTCTGCTTCAGATTCTTCCATAGTTTCCCATCACTCTAATGTCGATTCTTGACCTGACCTCCATGCACCACTCTTGCCCAAAACTTATAATCTACTTGGATTTCTCAAACCCAGCATATTCTTGCTTTACAAGAATGCTTGCTTGAATCCACCTTCCAACTCCCACAACTAACTTCATTCAGCTCTATACTTAACCTGTCTTTCAAGTTTCACTTCATCTGTCAGCTTCAGCTTCCCTAGAGGGTTCTTCTAGCTCACATTTTCCTATCCTTAGGTACCTTTCCCCTGTGTTCTCATAGTTCACTGTAAACAGTTTTATCAAAGCATTTATAACACTGTGTTGTAGCTGTTTACTCGTTTTGCTTCCCTACTAGATGACTTACTTGAATTCAGAGAAAGTGTTAGCCTTTTATTTCACAATTGTTTAACATATAGCAGGGTAGAATAAAGGTTTCTTGATTGAATATAAATATTAGTAAAATAAAAATAGAAAAATATATCTGATACAATATATATTTTTATCTCAAACCAGCAACCAACATTAAAATTAATGGTATAACACTAATTTATCTTGAAGTCAGACTCAGGTAAGGATGTCTTCCCTCACCACTATTATTTGGCATTGGTGTGGACATTCATAAAAGTATATTCAACATCTAGAATGCCTTAGGAGCTTGGCAAATCCTCTCCCTCAAAAGTAATAATAAAACTGGACAGAATTATTAAAAGCAACCATTTAAAGATTCTGAGAATTGACCAGAGGCACACAACAAATTGAGAAGCATTTATTCAAGAATTTCTACTGAATCTCAGTGAGAACAGTGGGAGTAGTCTGTAGTGTTTCAGCTTGGGGCTGCTTCCACCTCCTAACACCCAGCTGCATGATGTAGAAGTTCCACAAGGGCAGGGCAGGCTGCTTCCTCAAGCCACAGACAGATCCACTGACATAAGGTAGCAGCTGGGCTTCCCTGGTGGCACAGTGGTTGAGAGTCCACCTGCTGATGCAGGGGACATGGGTTCATGCCCTGGTCTGGGAAGATCCTACGTGCCATGGAGCGGCTGGGCCCACGAGCCATGGCCGCTGAGCTTGCGCATCCGGACCCTGTGCTCCGCAACGGGAGAGGCCACAGCAGTGAGAGGCCCGCGTACTGCAAAAAAAAAAAAAAAAAAGGTAGCAGCCTTACTGGCTTAAGATGTGTAATCACAACCTCTGACAAATCATTGACTGGCTGCCAAGCTGGTATGATTCTTAGGAAGCCAGGCATAAAAATAAAAACTGGGCAGAGACTTCTGTGGCTGCACTCTACAAAAACAACAACAGCAAAAAACAAAGACTCCATAGAATTGGTACAGGCGAATCACTACATAAGCAAAGAACCACAGCCATGCCCCTGGTAGGGAGATGTTCCAACTCCAGTGTTGCTATAATTTATTACCTAAAATGCCTGATTTTCAAAAACAACAAAAATGTCACACGATATACAAAAACAGGAGAGTTAAAAAAAAGCAGTCACTGGGTATGTCTCTGACAGAGGCCATCTATTGGACATAGCAAACAAAAGACTTCAAGCCATTTTAAAAGAAATAAAAGTGTGATGA